TTTTATTTACTAACCAATCAGAGCAACATATTTGACATACAGAACATCCCACAGCATTGAATTGCCTCATCTTTGGGGTCCTTGCCCTATCAGCTGTGTATCAGCATCCCAGCTGGCAGAAAGTGGGGGGAGCAGGTAAGCCATACATGTCTGGGACAGGTGGGCAGGGGCAGTGGGAAACAGGACCGTCATGCTTTGCTGAGATCTAGTCCTATCAGAACAAATCTCCCCGCTTTGCTCTCTCTCTCTAAAACAAAAGAATACCCCCTCCAACCAAAAGATCGTTTTGTTGGAGTCAGTGGCTCACACCTGGGTTTCAGCACTGGGGTGGATGAGGGAGGAAGCTGACGATAAAGTAAGATCTCAGTTCAAACAAATGGAGAAACAAAAGCACTCAATGCCGCTTCATCGTGAAAGGCAATAAGTAGATCATCTAACTTTTATTTAATCCATTTTACCCATAATTTCAAAGGATTCCCTAACTGTAACGCAGAAAAAATCAAAGAAGTCGTCCAAGCACCCGCCAGCAGAAAGCTGGGTGTCACGGGGAAAGGCAAGAGATGATGGGGGCACCTGAAGCTTGTAGCTAAATCTGAGAGCCCCATGAAGGCTCCCAGGGCTGGGGAAGAGTGAGATGTCGGCCCTGTGAATCCCGGGCTAATCAGCACACTCAGAGAAGGAAGTGCTGTCTAGAGAGGCAGGGTGCAAAGCTGCCTCACCCCGTCAGGTGCAAAGCTTCCCGGCTGTCAGGCCTCACTCACCTTCCCACTTGAAATGTGGAGAAGTTGACGCGTAGAAAAGCTAACGTCTGCTGACTAGGCCTGTGGCATTTGACCAGACAGCCACAAGGTCTGCTCTCAGTCGTGACGGGCATGGGATGGAGACACTGGGCAGCCTGGGCCTTTCCAGAGACCTACACTCAGATAGAGACGGATACTTGACACACCATAAAAAAGGAATTTGAGGATGAGCCAGCATGAAGCAGCGGAGCTAGACTTGATTAAAAGGTGCTTTTCGGGGGACTATGTCTATTCGTGTTTTCATGTGTGTGGACACACGTGTATGTAGGTACACAATCTGTGTGAAGGCCAGAGGGTGAGGCAGGACACCTTTCTCCATCACTGTTTTGAAGCAAAGTCTGTCACTCAAACATGGAGCTCCCCATCTCCATTAGTCTAGGTAGCCTGCTTGCTCCCCAGGTCCCCCGAGATTACCGGGGGTTTGCCACACCCACCCAGCATTTGCATGGGTGCTGGGTGTCTGTATCAGTCCTCAGGACCATGCAGCAAACTCTTCACCCACAGAACAGCTCTCCAGCTCTTAGAGGGCACGGCATTTTAAAGCACGGGGTCAATAGAAAAAGAGGCACTGGGGAGCTTGTGGTGGAGGAGGTTAAGGGGGGACAGGAGGAGATATGCCCAAGTGTGGGTGTGGCCCTCTCAAAGGACAGTTAATTTTCATCAAGCTACAATAGCTATGTGTAGAATTTTGTGAGTTCTGAAGTTATCCTTTTTAGAGGGCTGTTAATGAACTTAACGCAGGGTAGGCTCTTGGTTTGCCCTGGCCCGAATTCCAGTTGATAAGTTAAAATTGAGGTCCCGGGAATGAAACAAGCAAGGATGTTTTCACAGGAAACAAAAGTTTTAGCCTAATTCTCGGAAAACAACCGACAGAGGACTGAGGCCGTACTCAAGGCCTGTTTTCGTGCCTTCTTTTTACTGCTGTTTTAACATCCTTACATGGTAATATTTCTATACGAAAGCAGCGCTCTGTTGCCAGCCTTCGCAGCAGTGAGATTGTGCTGGAATTCCATGGGGCGAGGGGCCCCCACAATGTCTCCTTTCTTTCGGTTCTGCCTCGCTCCCCAGTACCAGACACACAGACGCAGCGCCTCTGTGTGGACACATGAAAAGGAGCCTAACCTGAAAGATGGGAATGGTTTCCTTCTGAAAGGGTTATTTCAAGCCCACCACGAAGCGAAGCTTTAATCTCTCTAATTTGTGTCTTCTAGACACCCGAGGGCCCATGGACACAGGCCACAGCTGGAGCTTGATAGGAGACAGAATGTAGACTGTTTCCCGGCCCTTCACCGTCTACTGTGAAATCCCCCAGTATGATGGCAAGAGGAGGTGATGAGGGCAGAGGACAGATTTGGGGAGCAGAATTAGTGCCTACCATGGTTTGGACAGGGTTTCAGTATCCCCCAGATCTTCCTGTGCTGATGGGGCCCCACCCCGAGATGAAGAGCAAGGACTGTTGAGAGAGGGGGACCCAGTCTTCCCCCAGGGAAGACCCCCTAAATGGTTACTCAGCTCCAAGTGGTGAGTCCTAAAAGTAACAAGCAGCAATAATGGGCTCAGCAGGTTGTAGTTATGTATTTCTTCACACACACACACACACACACACACACACACACACACACACCCCGATAGTAATTAATGAACAATAGATCATGAATTTGAAGCACGAGACATGGGAAGGGCTAGAGAGAATTTTGTAATTATATTTTAATTAAATACTTTGAGAATTGGGGGGGGGGGGCTTCCCATGGAGAAGTTTGATTCCTGTGGTGAGGTGTCCTGAGGTGGGAACCAGTGGTGGGGTACTCGCAGGTGGTGCCTTGGAAAGTGCTTAGATTTAGATAAGTCCATTAGAGTAGAGCCCCCAAGACAGAACCCCGGTAGCTCTACAAGAAAAAAGACATAAGCACAGATACATACAACACACACACAGGCACACACACATACACATTGGACATGTGCACACTTATATGTGCCCTGTTTCTTGCTGTGTGATGCCCTGAAGTGGCTTAGACTCTCCCAGCTAGAAAACTATCATTGAATAAGGTCCCTAGATTTTGTTTTGTTTGTTTTTTCTTTAGACAAAGTTTCTCTGTGTTACAGCCCTGGCTGTCCTGGAACTCACTTTGTAGCCCAGGTTGGCCTCGAACTCACAGAGATCCTCCTGCATCTGGCTCCTGAGTGCTGGGATTAAAGGTGAGCGCCACCACCGCCCGGGCTGGTCCCAGGATCTATGTCACCAAACCCACCACAAAACAAACACAGCTCTGACTGCAGAGCCCAGGAACATGAAAGACTGCATAGCCCGTCACATGTTCTGGGAAAGTTGGAGATGATGGCTACTGTGGGCAAAGGTTAGCTTTGAACACTTGCCTCTCTGTGACCCCCTGCTCTCCACTCCTTCAACCTTTACTGGTTGCCTCTCCATGACCCTCTGTCCTACATCCTTTCAGCTGTGGGGTGTCGGAAGGCAGCTGTGTCAAGATGGCCGGAGGATTTCACAAATATCTTGAACTAACACCCTGGCATCAGAAATTGTAAATCTTGGAACGTAACTTGACTCAAGGCCTGACCTCAAGACTGTAAAAATTCCTCCGACTCTCCCTAAGGCCTAACCTCAAGATTGTAAAACCCCTTTGACCCATTGCCTGGTGCTTGGCTTTTGTTATAAGAAGAGGCTTGGAACCCCCTCTCACTGTCACAGTGTTAGAAGCCCGGATTCTGGCCATGGCCTTAGTTAGCTAGAAGTTTTCTGCCCCATGGTGTCTGGAATAAAGTTTACTACTGGTTAATAGACTTCGGTGGTCTGTTCCCCATTAAATAAATGTCCCCAGGACCCAACACTGACCTCACAGAAGATGATAAGAGACAGTTTAATCTAGAGCCAAATATGAGTGACCATGCCTCAGGAACACAAATTTAGTTTACCTCAAATTCCAAAGAGCTAACAGTTCCATGAAGGTTTTACCGCAACAGACCAACAAGAAGTCATATATGAAAACATTTTTCGAATACATTGGTGGGTACATCAGGTAGGCCGGTTACCGCAAAGCAGAGAAATCCCTGCTCAAGGCCTCTGTAGCAGGCTTTCTCAGATCACCAGGCCCCAATCATGACGCAGAGACTTACTATTAGTTATGAATGTCCAGCCTTAGTCTAGACTTGTTCCATTCGGTCTTTTAACTTACTTTAACCTGTTTCTCTTCATCTATGTTTTGCCTCAGGACTTTTTACCTTTCTTTTATTCTGTATGTCCTGCTTTCCTGCTTCCTCCATGTCTGTCTGTCTGGCAGCTACCTGGCTGGCTGGCCCCAGGCGTCTCCCTCGCTTTTTTCCTCATTTTCTCTCGAGCCTAGATTCCACCTAGTACTTATTCTCTCTGCCTGCCAGCCCTGCCTATCCCTCCTCTGCCTAGCTATTGGCCGGTCAGCTTTTTATGAGACCCATCAGGTGCCTTAGGCAGCAAGGTAAAACAGCAACACATCTTTACATAAACAAACAAATGCAACATAAACAAATGCAACACATCTTCACATAGCTAAAGCAATATTCCACAACATAAACAAATGTAATGCATTTTTATATGGTTAAATAAATGTAGCATGAACAAATGCAACACATCTTTACATAGTTAAAATAATATTCCACAGCAGGCCTCAGGTAAGTCTGATGACATTCTTAGCATTTGGGTTGGTAGAAGCTAGCTGTGCGCTAAGTTAATACAACCCATAAGATTTTATGTGACAGTCACAGACTGTCACAGTTAGGTCAGACACAGGGGCAGACAATGGATGCCTATTAGGGAGAAGTAAAGAGAGCCCAACATAATTTGGCTCTGGATCTGCAATGTTCCAACCCTCCACAGTCATTGAGGTTCTAATCAGCTAATCAGTCTTTGTAGAACATACAGTGTAAGGTGCAACTTTTGTTCTGTTTCCTTAGTTTACAATACAGAGGGATGTGAGCAAGAGTAAATCTCATCTACTGACAAGGTTAGACTGCTTAAGGCATTTTGTTACAGAAACAAAGGCAGATTAATATGATCCCCGTATGTAAATGACCCCAGAGCCCTCTCTCACCTTCTCTCCATGTGAGGGAAGACAGACAACAACCCAAAAGAAGGCTGTCACCATACATAGCCTCCAGAGCGGTGAGGAATGAATTTCATACAGGTACGTAGTACGTTTTGACCACACTCACCTCCCCATTAATCTCTACCGCCTTCTCTCGTCTCCCTTCCACTCTATCTGGATCCCTTCTTCCCAAGTCCTTCTTCCCCTTTTCCATCTAAAAAAAAAAAGACCCACTAAGATTAATTAGAGTTGCTTGCACAAGCATGGGTGGAGCTTTTATTGACTGAAGCATGGGCAATAGAGCAGTGGCTACAATTCTGAAGAAAAAAATGACTCTGCCACCCCCAGCATCCCTTAACTGGCAGGAGCTTTTCAGGTAGCAGTGGGGTTCCTTGTGCCCCTCCCCCAACCCTGCTGGAATGTTAACAAGTTACACCTTGTGAAGTTAACCCGCAGTTACTGTGAGTTTATGAGAGCAACAGCCATGTCATGTTCAGAAGAGAGTGCTTTACAACACTCCTCCCCTTCCTGAAGCTCTTAAATTCTGTCTGCCCCCTTTTCCAGAATGTTTCTTGATCCTCGGTAAGGGGTGCAGTTGGCAGGGATATAAATATCCCATTTAGGGTTAAGCACTCAACAACCGTTCCTATGACTTGGATAAGGTATGAGTCTGCATTAAATATTACATACCTACCATATGCAATATTTGCCTACCATATAAATATTGAGAAGGCAGTTTGATAACATTTACTGAAACAACAATACTAGTTTTCTCCATATAGCTTGGGGCCTCCCTAAGTCATCTTTTTTGTTTTGTTTTGTTTTTTTTTTTAAACCAGGTTTAAAGTATCAGGTATGAATTCCCTCCTGTGGAATAGGCCTCAAATCTAATCAGAAAGTGGTTGTTTACCTCCATAATAGCCATGACACAATTGCACCAGTGAGCAGATCTTGCTTGGCAGATGGGTATTGTGCATGCAGGGGTCGCTCAGAGAGTAAGCTTCCAGCTCTGCTCTGCTCCAGCTTGAGAGCAATGGTTTTTGTTTTTGGTTTTTTTTTTTTTTTTTTTTTTTTTTTTTTTGCTTCCAATCTGTTTGGTCTCTAAACCTTATAATGATGGTCTGAACATTCAATACATGTGGAAATGCAGCAGAGGCACATGAGTGGTGCTAAATTAGGGCAAGACGACGAATGAAACATTTCCCCCGAATGAAGTAGAAACAAAATGGCACAGACAAGGGAGGAGCCACAATGTGCAAACCCAGGAATCCAAATTCCCGGAATAGAGACTTCCAGAATGAGATGATCGAGCAAAAGCTGTGATTAAATTTGAGTAGGAAATTACTGTTATTTCCCGCTTCAAATTATTTCTTTGCCTTTTTTCTGCTTCAACTGATCATAGAATGTGCGACTTACAAGCTCATAAAACTACAAAGTACAGACAGCACATAATTCGACAAGAAAATCCTTTTAGAGGTCTTCTTTTCTTTGCCTTCTGAAGGAGAAGATCTCACAAAGCTAAGGAAGGAAGCCAGACTGGAGGTCAGAAGTGGACGATGGGACTCTAGAGTCAAGTACACTAGAGGGTCCCCTGGTGGAGAAACAGTTTCCTAGGCTAACTTGTTTGCTCCTAGCTTTCCTTTATATCCAGGGAGGGCAGAAGCCATTATCACTCCATCTGAAAAGACATTGACTCTGTGCACATAAGATTTGCCTCATCTCATTAATGTGGCCTCCCAGACAGATTAGATTTTTGTCAGCTTACACAAGCTCTGTTTGACTATTCTGGGAAGAGGGAGCCTTAAAGATGTCCTCACTTAGATTGGTGTGTTGGGCAAATTTTCTTGATTAATGATCAATGTGGGAGTGTTCAGATCACTAAGGCAGGGCCACCCCTGCACAGGTGGCCCTGGGTTGGAAAAGAAATCAATCTGAGCAAGCCAGGAGGAGCAAGCCAACACACAGTGCTCTTCATGGTCTCTGCTTCAGTTCCTGCCTTCAGATTCCTTCCTTGAGTTCCTGTTCTGACTTCACTTAGTGATGGACTGTGCTATGGAACTGTAAGTCAAATAAACCCTTTTCTCCCCAAGTTGCTTTTGATCATGGTGTTCTATCATACCAGTAGAAAGCAAACTAAGACACAGAGAGTCCCCAACCATGAAATGGTTAATTCTGGAATCCTCATGAAGACTTACAGAGTCTGCCTAGAGTCTGGGGCTTGAGCTTATATGGTTAATGAGAAAAATATGGAGTCTGGAGGCTGGAGTGACTGATATATTTGTGAGTTTCCATGGTGAAAATTCTAGACCTTCTCTCCCAAAGAACCCTTGATTTCAATGGATGGTCATCAGGTTATCTTCAGGGTCAAAGTTGTCTCGTGGGACTTCCTACAACCATCCCAACTGAAAAAAAAAATAGTTTATAACACTTGATTTATGTGTCGGCATGTAAGTGAATGGCAGAACAGTACTGCGTGGAAGTTGTACTAGTCTAGCCACAGTTTTTACTGAAGTAGAGTCATCAGACAATTTTTTCATGGCTATCATGGAAACTGTGCTATAAGAAATTAACTGACTCTCTCCAGGTCACACATTGGATCACACAAGCCACATGTCATGATTCTAGCATGACTGTTCTCTCCAATGGTTCAGGGCTACCCAACATGAGACTACTCCTCAAAATAATCCTAAACTCTGGTTCTTTGATCTCTGATATTCTCCCATATTTAATTAACAACTATGTGCTGACAGGCATTAGACACACATGAGAAAAAAGACAGGGTCTCCACTCTGCAGATGAGCAAGAGAGGGTAGACACATCTACCTCTTTGTTCCACTCAAACAGCATCTTCACTACCAACGGGCGCATGGCCATCATCCCATACTGATGCTAGTGCCATCTGGTATACCTCCTGCCTCTTCCCCATCAGGTCGATGTCCGTCTAACCTCAAAAGGTACCTTCCCAGAATAATGCAACTTCCCGATGATGCACAGTCTTCAGGAATCCTTTGCTGCTTTTCATTTCGTATTACATGGAGGACACTGTCAACTGGGTGCCACTCCCCTGCCACACTCAGAAAGAAGGAAAACAAAGTGTCCTTGGAACTAAATGGACTGAAAGTGAAAATTTGCAAAGTCACTTTGTGTTAGTCAGGTTTCTTGACTATCACAAAATACTTGGGATAATTAACTATGAAGAGAAAAGGGTTATTGGGGCCTACACTCTTAGAAGTTTCACACCACAGTGGGAATGAATAGTAGAGCAACATCACTCACATGAGCTATAAAGCAGAGAGGATGAAAAACAGATCTAGCTTCCCACAACCTACTTCAAGGACATTCTTCAGTGACCCAAAAACTCCCTGTTGGTCCTCACCTATTAAAGTTCCAGCCCTACCACTAGGATCACCTTGGAGACTGAGTGTTTAAAGGATTGGCTGTTCTGGAATATCCAAGGTTCAGAGTTGGGCTCTGTAGTGCTTGCCTGTGGTACCAGCTCCTCAGGACACTGAGGTAGGAAGGTCACTTCAGACTGGGGATTTCTGGGTAGCCTGGGCAACACAGGGAGATTCAGTCTTTTAAAAATAAACAATACATTGCAAACTGTAGTTTACCTTAAGGAGAAGTGGTAGGTTCCAGGTAGCTCAACTGCTGATAACTGATCAATGTACTCAGTTATCTAAAGAAGGTACATCAACAGGAGGGGGCCGCATTACCATGCGAATTAGCAAAGGATGGTCCTTGAAGGGAATGTTGCTGAAGTCATTCAAATGTGTGGACCAAGGATGACCATCACAGGGGTGGGTGGCCCAGTGGGTCTCTAGCATCTGATAGGACCAGACTTAGAGAACCCTCACTTTGCTCTGGTGGCCATGAACACCGTGTGGTTTTGTGTTGCAGCGTCTTTTGACTGTTGAGTGCTACAGGCTGAATGTTTGTGTTCCCTTGCCCACAGTTCATGTGTTGAAACTGAATCCTCAGTGAGATGGCTTTGGTTGTGGATGGGCCTTTGGGAGGGCATTAGATCATGGATGCATGAAATTAGTGTCCTTAGAGAAGGGACCCCAGAGAGTTTCCTTGTGGCTCCTCTCATGGGAGGTTGCAGCATTAAAATGTGATCTATGATCCAAGAAATAGGTCTACATCAGACACTGAATTTGTAGGAGGCTTAATCTTATACTTCTCAGCCTTCAGATCTGTGAGAAATACTGTTTATAAACCACTAAGACTTCAACACTCTATTACACCAGCCAAGACACTACAGCAGTCAAATCCAGGCCTCTCACAAGACTGAATGTCTGACCCACTAAAACCAACAGCCAATGGCAGGGCCCTTGGCCACCATTTATCATCAAGGAAAATGGCACTTTCAGGACAAAAATCTCACTTTCAGGACAAAACTTAACAACAAGTTCTAGTTGGTCATACATGATCTTGGGACCTAGAGCAAGATCCAGAGAAAAATCAGGCCTGATTATTGCTCACCTGAGGCCTAAGTATCTTTGGTATTTAGTTGTGTTGATGTTCATCAAATTGTCAAGGCTAGGGAAATTCTCAAGGGAAACCTAGGTAGCATGATCTTTGAACAACTATTCATTTCAAGCTTACTTAACACCAGTGTGTTGATGGACACAGCCTTTATTCCATTGTATTTTCAAAAGCTAGCCCTCCAGGACCCATGCTGAAGCTGTGTTTTGAAACTCCAGCAAGAGGCCATCTGTACTATGGACTGGTCATGCAGTTCCCAATTTGCTGGTAAGTGGCTCAATTGTTCAGGGCTCATTGATTTCAAGTGTGTGTGTGTGTGTGTGTGTGTGTGTGTGTGTGTGTGTGTGTGTGTGTGTATACACGTATATTTTCATGGCTATTCCCCACTCCCACTTTTGTGGTGATTCATGAAAATTTTATTGCTTCTTTGACTTTGCATGTTTTATGGAGGTTCAGTTATACCATGAAGTCTCATTTATTGGGCATTTACTTTGGGTCACCTTGACCAATAAACTGGCGGTTGATGACAGAGCTCTGAGCAGATATGGAAAGGTGTTCTCTAGTGGAAAGGGTTTGAGACAATGAGCTTCTCTGGTATTTACAGTCTCTTCTAGTTTAAGAAAGAAAAATCACATCTGGTCCCCTAATAATTCAAGAATATCTATGTTTTCAGGTGCAGAAAACATTAGAAAGGATTGTGAAGAGTAAAAGAATCTGGAGTGTTTTATGATGTCTATAGTGTTCCAGAGGGGAAAATAGTATTAGGCTGAAGCAAACTGCTTAATTCTGTTATCTTGAGTATGTTCACTGTATACTCTTCCTTCCATTATTGACTAATTGAATATAAATCCCATTAAAGGACACAGAATTCTTTTTTTATTTAAATGAAAGCTCAGTTGCCTAGAGGAATCAGTTCATGGAGAATTCCTAACACAAGACTCAACATGCTTGAAAATTTGCAATGAAAATCACAAGAGCCAAGTCCCAGGTGACAAGCATCCACATGTCATGAGTTAAATGTCAGATGACTTGCTTTATGGAATGTATTAGTTGCTGTGCCCTACAGTTAGTTCACAGCCAGTTCCAGACCCCACACAGGATAGCCTGATCTAAGAGCGTCCTTTTCCCTCCTAAAAAGTGATCTTACCAAGACCATGCCAATGGACAGGCACTGTGAGGATAATTATTAGATTTCAAACAGATGGAGATTTTTGGTAGTGGGAGAATGAATTAAAAAGCACATCATGGCCGGGCGGTGGTGGTGCACGCCTTTAATCCCAGCACTCGGGAGGCAGAGCCAGGCGGATCTCTGTGAGTTCGAGGCCAGCCTGGACTACCAAGTGAGTTCCAGGAAAGGCGCAAAGCTACACAGAGAAACCCTGTCTCGAAAAACCAAAAAAAAAAAAAAAAAAAAAAAAAGCACATCATAATCCAGAAACTGGAAGGCTGGGATTTTTAATTGAGACTTCATTTGAACAGTGAGAATCTTAATACAAACTTTGATAAATTTGAATGTGTATTTGAGAATGAACACTTAGGAAGCATTACCACCCACTTCCTTTATCGTCTACTTTTTATGTTATGACAAAAGAAACAAGAAGAAAAAAGTCTGTTAGGAAAATGTCACAAGTAACTGTTGGGCTGGGGAGATGTTTTAGATGGACTGCGGTTATCCAGGGCTTTGAGAGAGGGCATGGTTGTCAAAGCTTGAAGTCCTGGGCTTGGATCTCTAGCATTCATGTGAAAGAGGCAAGACACTGTGACATAAATCTGTGTTCCCATGCTGTGACGAGGGGGTGTTGGGCCCGGGGTCGCAGAATAATGGGGGACAGACCACTAAAGTCTGTTAAACCAGAAGCAGACTTTATTCCAAAAGCCAAAGAGAAAGAAAAAGAAATATCACTGTGGGGCACAAAAGCTTATCAGCTAGCTGAGACCACAGCCAGGGTTTGGGATTCTGAGGCTGTGGCAGCTGGAGGGGGTTTGAGCCCCTTTTTATAGTAAGGGAAAGCATTAGGCATGGACAAAGAAATTTTTACAATTTTGAAGTTAAACTTTTAGAGACAAATTGTTTTTAGGGTTTTACAATTTCCCGTTAACAAGGTTTTAGGGGGTTTCAGCTAAATGATATTTGTATATCCCTGCAGCCCCTGCCTGACTCAGTTAATTGATATTTGCCCAAACCTGCAGCTTCTCCTGACACAGCTGGGTTCCCATAGTGGGGGGCGGGGGCGGGGGCGGGGGGGCGGATACGAAACAACACAAGACAAGTTGTCAGGTAGAACTCACTAAAAGTTAGCTATGGTTTCGGTAGTGAGTGGTAGGGGCTTATAGAAGAATAGTTAACCCCAGGGCTACAAAGGGCAGTCTTTAGTAAAAGAAAACTAACATTTGGGTTGTTGAAAGAGCTGCCCATCGTAAAACATGGAAGGACCCAGTTAAAGGTTAATCGCTTTTTGCTGGGCATGCTGGTGACTGTCAGTCCCATCCCTTACGCTTATCCCTATATACCTGTCTTATTCTTATATTCCTACCTTATTCCTATATTCCTACCTTATTCCTATATTCCTGTCTTATCCCTATATTCCTATTTTATTCCTATATTCCTGTCTTATCCCTATATCCCTATCTTTTTCCTACATTCCTATCTTATCCCTATATACCTGCACCCTACAGGGGGAACAGGGATAGTAGGATCACCAGAGCTCATTGGCTAGCCACTCTAGCTGAATTGATGAGCTCTAGGTTCAGCGAGAGACCCTGTCTCAAAAAAATAGGGTGGAGCATGATTGAGGAAATCATCTAATGTACACACACACACACACACACACACACACACACACACACACACACACAATTATATGAATGCACATACACAACATGCACACTAGATAGGTAAATTAAAAAAAATTGAAATGACACACAACTAACTGTCCAAGGCTTTCTCCCACGGAAAGTGATTCCAGTTCTCCTCCACTTGGACAAAGGACGTGTACCCTGAACCCAAACGGCTTGCCAGAACCCAAAGTCCCAACTTAAGGTCCAAGTCAGGAAAAGTCAGGTCCACCTCAGTTAGGCATAGTGCTGTGACTCACCCTAGGTGGACTATGATGCTGGCCTGATTCCTCCAGGTGCAGTTCAGAGTTGCTGGTCAGTGTGACAGGCAAGCCACAGCAATGTCCAACCCTGGGCCCTAGAAGAACAAGAAGAGGACATAAAGAGAAGGCTTTTGCATATAACAGGTATGTAAAGAATGGCAGAGCCAGCGTGCACAGGCATTCAAGCAGCCGCCTCTCCACACACGGGAGTCGGCATCTGACCAGCTGGAGTAGCCAGTTAAAGGCACAAGCCACAAAAGACAGTAATCCTTCGGTCACCTCCTGCCACAGCACAGGACAGATGCTAAACCCAGAGAAAGTGCCACCCTCCTTGATTCCACTTTCTCCGAAGAAACAACACACGGTACTGCTGGAAGCTCCAATGGGTGAGCATAGATGTCGGCAGTGAGGGTCATCTCCCTGCATGCAGCTGGGGTCCTCCAAAGTCTCTAGTGGTTTGTTGGATGGAATGGGGATGGAATAGAGTATGAGAGATCATCGGGAAGGCCTGGGAGTAGATGCTGAGGACTGAGTCAGAGCGAAGAACGGAGACTGTCCATTCTAGGCAAATGTGGGAGGCATGAGGGTCTGGAGCCGGGAATGCTAAACACACAGGGTTGTTCCTTCAAGGGAAGGAATGCATAACCTGTTATCCTCCCAGAAGGCTGAGTGTGGTCATGGTCAATAGCCTGGTGACCTCTGTACTATCAATGTAGCCAGAGATCAGATCCTTCCCCAGACCCTATTGTAAGCTTGTTTTTCCTCAGTCTATCTAGAGGACCCATCTTTATGGACATTACAAAGAGTTCCCATTTATTCAATTTTGATCTGTATTTAGTTTACATTGTTCCTCAAAGAGATTTATGCATGCTTTGTTGTGAACGCAGGATTAAATTAATATCACCATAATAAGTTTTCACCAAATTGTGCTGTGCTTAAATATGTCTAAAATAAACTATTTAGATCAGACTCCAGAAGTTTGAACCAACACCAGCTACTGAGTCGTGTTGAACCAAATTGCCCTCTTGCCTCCCATGGATCATAATTCTGCTGGCCATGAAGGTCAAAGAGATCCCCCAGCATCCGAAGACAAGAAGGCCCCTGGGCTGGATAAGCATGACCAAAGCTGGTCAGCGGAACTTCTTCCACGAGGCTTTCCAGCTGAGGCCCTTAAAAAGGCCCCAAAGTCAGGCCTGACAAATATCCCGTGTAGGGTTCCCGTCCAGAACCAGACCTTACAGAGCACCTACGCCATGGAGGCCTTTGTGGAGCATGCACTGTCCTTCCCTTGGCCGGCTTCCCTCCCTCCCTAGAAGCCAGAGTATGAGTGATGGTCACAGATGTTCAGAGCTCCACAATTCACTTCTCTTAGTCACGGTTACTGTATGCTTTAAGTATGTTGTGTGCTGTATGTATGTTGTATGCTGAAGCCAGCATACGTAGTTCTGTATCATATCAACCCAAAAGGTATGACACTCTAACCAAGCAATGTCAACTCCAGAGGACTGGTGTAAAGAAGTGAGCTAGTTAACAACTTCTGTCCGCAGTCAGAAGGCCAGGAGTAGAATCCCAGTTCTCTCATTCACTGGGCATGTATCAATTTAAATCCATGACACAAAAGATGAGCACACAGGAAGTGTCTCTTGCGGGGGAGGACAGCAGCAGCAGTGAAGGATAAGGTTTTTAGCTCTTAGCTTTTGCTCTGACCTCTTGGGCTTTTTAACTTTGCAATTGGCTCTGTGTTTCATATTTAACAAGACGGTTACAGCTACAAGAACTTTAAAATAATGATACAAGTCTAATATTGTGTGGTGGTTTATCACCATTGGTATGTGTCAGACTTCTCTGTAAGAAATATATAGCGCTACAATGTTCTGACAGGTATGACCTCCTCACCACATGTTAATTTTCATCTCCATTGTAACTGCATGAGACTACCATGCCATATGCTATCCACCAATGACCTGAATGCTGTTATGTGATGCACAACTGTATCTTTTACAGAAATACACTCCCATGCTGTCCATTTGTTTAAATCAATACACACTGAACTATCCCTTCCCAGGCACACTAGAATCAATACCAACTATCAATCACACACTTGGGCCAATCTTTCATCATCCGTCACGTTCTATAATGGTATCTGCCATTCTCCAGTGATATGCATGATTAGGAAGGCTATAATGAAATCCACAGCACAGTGCAGTTGTGAGTTTCATGCACGCTGTCACTCGCACAAAGCAGCCCATGTGACACCGGAGAATTATGGAACTCACACTTGAGCATGGCAAACAGGAGAGAAGAGCTAACCGCAGAGGATGATAAAGCTGGCCAGTGAGATTTGGCAGGCATGGGGGTGACTCAGTCAACAGCCCCCAGTTTTCCTCCTTTGCCTCTAAATTAAAGGCTGGGGAGACTGAAACCCTGCTGTGGGATGTTCTGTATGGCAAATGTGTTGCTGATTGGTCAATAAATAAAACACTGATTGGTCATTGGCTAGGCAGGAAGTATAGGCAGGACAAGGAGGAGAATAAAGCTGGGAAGTGGAAGGCTGAGTCAGAGAGACACTGCCAGCCGCCATGATGAGAAACAGCATGTGAAGATGCCGGTAAGCCACGAGCCATGTGGCAAGGTATAGATTAATGGAAATGGATTAATTTAAGCTGTAAGAACAGTTAGCAAGAAGCCTGCCACGGCCATACAGTTTGTAACCAATATAAGTCTCTGTGTTTACTTGGTTGGGTCTGAGCAGCTGTGGGACTGGCAGGTGAGAGAGATTTGTCCTGACTGTGGGCCAGGCAGGAAAACTCTAGCTACAAAACCCCTCTTCCCATTCTCCCGGCAGCTGGCTGGAACCTGAATGCCAGGGTTTCAAGTCCGGTTTTGCCTTTCACTACCTACGTGCCCTTGAGAAGCTCGTGTTCCCTCCGTTTGCAGATCTGTGAAGTGTCACTGCTCAGCATGTCATGAGGACTATTGCATTTCCTGTTCTCACAATAGTTCTGTTGTGGAGTAGAGTCACTGTGAACCAGAGTCAATGTAGTGACTGTGATTGACAGTTATGGATTGTGTATTTTGGAGGAGATGTGATTCCTGAAGTTTACTCTGCAGACCGGGCAGTGCAAAACCTAGAGGTCCACAAGTCCTCCTTGGCCGGAGAGATGGATGTTGACACCCAGATTGCTGAGTGCCAAGGTCATCAACACTGCCACTTATGAAAGGCTAGTCCAGGGCCAAGAATAGCTCAGACATTCTTTCCTCCCTCTTCTGATACCCTTATATTTTCTTATGCTTACTTTTCTCAGCTCTGGATCTACTCATACACGGCTGTGATTCATGCCCCTTTCTCCTCTGTAATGTTGATGCATGACTGGAATGCATCATCTTGCCAACACTTAGTCATGTCCCACAGTTATCAGAAGGTCTTAGCATGAGTCCAGCCGTGCTTTAAGTTTCTAATGAAAGGTTTCCACTTTGGGGTTCAAAGGGGACTCTGAGTCAGACTGTCATCTTGGGTAAGAGATTTATTAGAAGAGTTATTTATGTCACAGACAGACAGTAGGAGAGTTCATGCCCATGTGGCAGAGTGGGGCTCCTTCTTACAGATTTCAGAGTAGGCAGGGAGGTTCCATGCCACATGGTTGATAGTGGTCCATAGTATGTGCCTTCAGTCAGGATGTCCCTGAGTCAGGTGTGAGTGTGGGAGGGCAAGACTAGAAAGATGTTACTTTGGAAACCAATGACTGTACTTTCAGCAATTGTCATAGCTCAACCACAATGGAGGAGCTTTGCAAAATGGTGTGGTGCTGGCTAACACCTACTATTTGATTTAGTACTTAATACTTACTCTCCCTTAATTAGCCTGCGGTGGGGGGAGCTGGAGAGGCTTAGCAGTTAAGAACCAGTACTGCTCTTGCAGAGAACCCAGGTTTGGTTCTCAGCACTTAAATCCGATGACGCATAGCCACTTGTAACTCCAGCTGCAGGGACTCTGACACCTCTGCCGGCCTCTGTGGGAACTGCACTCAAGTCCACAAGTCCGCAGAGTCACACATCTACACACACAATTCAAAAAGAAAATCTCTTTAAAAAGAAGCCTTTCAGTCTGCTGCCTTTGTTTCCTCAACAGTGCTTCAATTTTCCTACTCCCTGCCCCACCCTCTTCTGGGACTCCATCAGGCTTTAGTTCAGTGAAGGATATATGGCTGAAAACCAGGGTGTTGTTTCTGAGTTACTTTTGGTCTCTTGAGCATGGTGGTGACTAATTACACCCCTGTCTAGCAAAAGGACAAAATTCCAATGTCAAATGCAGAAAATGTTTCTGTAAATCATAATCATTTCCCGTCTTCCTCAACTTAGTCCATCCAATCTACAGTAATTTTTCAAATTAACAGTAATAATAATAATAACAAATCCCTTATAGTCAGGTTTGGACTCCCAACTTGAAGAGAGTAACATGCATCCATCATGTGCACCTGATAAAATGGGCACTCTTACTTTGAGTAAGTCGATTTGGTGAGTCACGTGGAACATCTAACTTTAATAGAAAATGCATTTTCTAAGGTGGCAGGAATAGCAAGGGTGTGATGGTGACTTGGTGGCAGGATTCCACTCCACTCCCTGCAGTGGTTTTGTGTGGTCTGCCGTAGTTTGACAAGACTGTTCAACTTGCACCATTTAACGGAACATTTCATCAAAATGTGATTTGAATGTAAAATATTTGGAGCAGATCAGGGCTGGGTTTTCTGCATGTAAGAGGGGTGGTATGGAGGAGACAGTCCAAGGAAAGAAACTAAGGCTGTGTCAGGAGCGCCTGGTGCGGGGGAGGCCGAGATTGAGCGATGTTGACTTGAGGAGCTGTGGTTAAGCAGGGGAAAGGACATTTAGAGGAGCCGTCGTCCACAGTAAATGCTTTCTTCCCAAAGTTGTCCCAAATTTGCTGCCAGCTATCTGTCCCTGACTCCTTGGGACCTTTCTCTCTCACCATCCTAAGCGAAGAGAACCTGCCAGTCAACTTAAACATGGAGTCTATAAAGAACTATGAACGATACTTGGAGTCTTAGGACCGAGGAGCTGTAAGACAGAGTGCGGGCTAACACAGAAAAAAGAGCTTAATTAGACAAAGTAATCAAAATTGCCCAAAGAGAAGCTTCTACTGAAGTTAGAAAAGAATGTCAAGTCCACACGGACTACATGATTGGTGGAAGACGCCCAAGAGCACACTGAAGCCTAAGTCCAGCCTGATAAAGGGTTGATGTCTGTCTTAACAATGGACACAACCCAATGATTGAGATGCCTGTAGGTAAAGTGAGAAAAGCTCCTGTGCCCAGCACAGCCCAAGTATAAATCCTGCTTCTTGGGGCTGGGCCTCCTGCCCCTACATAGTTTTCTTTTGTTTATGTGTATGCGGTATTCTCTCAGGTAGTTCAGGCTGACCTTGAATGTCATATCCTCCTGCCTCAGCTTCCCATGTGCCGGGATCACAGGTGTGCACTCCCCATGCTGGCCTCCTGTTTTCTTCAGACAGCGCTTCCTTTGACTTTCCTGCTAACATTCAGCCACAGTTCTCCCCCCAGGGCTGTGACTGAGTTACATCTGAAATGCTAATCAAGGGGTCCCACTCTGGGCAAAGACCTATACAATTTTCACAACAAAGTTGAAGAGGCAGGTGTGTGTGTGGGGGGGGGGGGCAAGAAGAAGAGTGGGGTGGGGGGAGCCCAAGTAAGGGAGGAAACAGGTTGTGTTGCGACTATTGCAGTAGGAAACTTTCCTGACATGAAGGTTAAGGTCTCTCCTCAGGGCGGCTTCACTTTAGACTTTCATGGAGAGGAGTGGGTGAGTTACCAGCCAAGTGACCTGACAGCTGGTGTGGTCTTGTCATGGGGGAAGTCGATGTCCGTCAGCTGAACAAGAATTCGTGGAAACAGCTAGAGTGGGAACGGGAGGGTCCTGTGCCAGGTGCTTCCCCAGATAAACAAGGGGGAATCTTAGGAAATCATATTGGGGAGGCTGGTTCTTTCCCAAAGTTCTGCTAACACCAAAGGCTGCAGCATTTCAGAAAACAAAAGATTCAGAGGATGAACCGTCCGTCAGAAGCCGGGCTCTGGAAAGCCCAGTCCTATTGGAGAGGCTGGTTTACAGACCCAGTTCCCATGTGAAGAAAGGATGGCACATATACTGGATAAAGCCATCTCTCCCCCAGCACTGGGATTCATACCTTCATAGGTTAGGACATGAAAGGCTGCTCTGCACTGGCCAGGTCCTGCTGGCGAATGGGGGGCAGCAGGTGCTAAAGCAGCCTGGAAAGCGCGTGCTCACCCAAAGCAAGAGTTGCCCCTCAGCTTCTTCATATGTGGGAGAGTGGGCCTGATGTTGAAGGGAGCTGCGTGTTTTCCTGAGAAAGTGGAAATTCAGGCTCTTAAGTGAAATCTAAAGTATTATTTTTAATTTAAAACATGCTAAGTAATAATTTCATTATGGCAAGTAAAACCCACTCTGAAAGTAGAAGCCGGGGCTGGGGAAATGGCTCAGTGAGGAAATCACTTACCTAGCAACTGTGTTCAGATTCCCAGAACCCAGACATAAAGCCGGGAGAGAGTAACAGCCTGCTTGTAAATCCTAGCTTCTGGAGATGAAGACAGGATTCCCAGAGCAAGCTGGTTCAGTGAGAAACCCTTCTTCAAACGTGGTGGTGCAGAGAGACCTCGGGAGTCAGTCACTCTGTATCAACTTCTGGCCTCTACATACATAGGCATGTATATGCACCCCCACACACATATGAACATGCATGCACACACATATACCACATACACATACATTTGCAAGTTGGTGCCCTGCCATTTCCTTTACGCCATGGAGAGGTTTTCCAGTTACAACCCACAGATGAACTTGATTCCTTCAACAGGAGGAGGGCCCAGCAGGCATTCCATGTTGCAAGGGGAGATCCACGACAGAGGGGCTAAATGCATCATGAGGGTCAACCAGCTGGTAAGTTTCCGAGCCCAAGTTGGAAGCCAGCAATCTGTGACTGCAGCTGCTCCTGTTGCTTACTGCACAGCCTGGGCCCAATCCCGTCTTCTATTAATAGGAAAATGGGACCATCATCCTTTTCTTTTTCAGCCCCACTGTTCTGGGCAGCTTCTCTGATACAATTTGCAATTCCAAGGAAGACTCTCAAGCAAGCTTGTGCGTTCTCCTCCAGTTCACTCCAGTTTAGAAAATAAGCTTTTACATGCTCTCTCAAGATGGTTGGCTGATTTATTTTTTATGTCTCCTTCTGGTGCAGAATCTAAAAATGACAGTTGGGACCTCAAGAGAGACAAAGATGAAAATAGACAAAAAAAAAAAAAAAAAAAAGAAAAAAGAAAAAAAGAAAGAAAGAAAGAATTATTTTACTGCGCTAATGGTCAAGGAGCAAGACGAATCAACTATAAATAAAAACTGTTTTTAACTCATTGAGCTACCTCTTCTCTTAGTTACAATAAAGATAAAGTCAAATTGTGGATGATCAGAGATGGAATAAACTTTAATTTCTACAAACGTCGCTTCAGCAATCACAGGTAATGGCTGTCAGAGCTCGGGTCCCAACGCCCTACAGAAAGGTGCCAGTAGCATGCTGAGTACTGTGGACAGAGGGCATTGGAAGGCCTTAGAGAAAAAGTCTCTCTGACATTCCTGTTCTGGCTCCTATCCTCTCTTCTTTCTTTTAAGAGAAAGAAAAACTAGATTTTTTTTTCTACCCTCAAAATGATCACAGAAACTAGGACCGCCCCTCCCTCAAGACAGGCATAAACATTAGACAATCATCCTCTGCTCTTTTCCCCATTCAGGACCTTCCGCCCAGAGACTTCTGCCCTGTGCACAGGCCGCTGAGGAGAATCTGAAGTCAAGGGCCTTGCTGGGTTCCCCCTTCAGTCTGCTGCCATTGTGCCCCTCACCCAGCTACAGCTACATTTCTACATAGCGGTCTGTTTTCCATTGGGCCCACACGTCAACATGGGCTTTTTCTGAGTCTAGAGCTCATCATTCTGAGGGACCTTACGATATATAAGTTTATATATATAGTGTGTGTTTGATATAATACATTTGTTTCGCTTTCTCTTGCTAACCTGTATTTTGCTGTAGAAATGTTGACCATGCCCCTTGTGGTGGGTAGAGATGGGTACAATACCTTCCCACAACACTAAGCTAGTTGTCTGATTTATCAAAAATATACCAACTGTAAAACCAAACTTTTTTTTTGTGGGGCGTGGGGGTGGGGGTGGGGGGGTGAGGGGAGGTTGGTTTTGATATTTTTTTCCAGATAAGTGCTTACTATGTAGCCCAGGCTAGCTTTGAACTCATGACCCTGCTGCCTCAGTTTCTGGAGGTTGAGAAACCAGGCTTATGACACTTTATGATGTCTGAAATGAAAGGGTTTATTAGGCTGTTGCAGATGGTAGCCAGAAATAAAAGACCAAGTTCTGGGATAAATTCCCACGAGTACTGGCAGCAGGCTACATTGGAAAGTGTTCATCAAGCCAGAGATAAGAATGTAGTAGTTTTATAGGCATTTCTACGGGCAGTGGGTAGGAGGAAGAGGTTGACATATGGTGTCTCCCTCGAATGCTGTCCATATTAATTTTGAGACAGGATCTCTCACTGAATCTGGAGCTCATGCATTTGGTCTGATAAAGCCAGTGATGGGAGTGTTGGGCCATTCACGTAGATGAGTGTTTTTTAAGGTGAGAAACATGGATCCAGGAGTCAATTCCCTCTTATTTGGCAGCATGAGACTTAATGAGAAGCACCTAGAAAAGACCTTTTCAATGGGACCATGGAGTATTTTTGTGGTGATACCTTTTTCATGAAACCACAGACTTGCTTGAGATGGGGGGGAAGTGACACTATTCTTGTCACTGTAAAGAAATTATTTTACTAAAGAATAGATTTTCCTAACAGCTTTGATAAGTTCCTGACATTCATAAGAATCCTCTTTGGTTGCTTGTTGTAGAATATTATTTTAAGATGTGTTACATTTGTTTATGCTGTGGAACATTTGTTTTAATGATGCAAAGATGTGTTGCATTCTTTTATGTTGCATTTGTTTAACTCTGTGAAGCTGTGATTCTTTGCCTGCCTAAAACACCTGATGGTCTAATAAAGAGCTGAAAGGCCAATAGCAAGGCAGGAGAAAGAATAGGTGGGGCTGGCAGATAAACAGATTAAAAAAGGAGGAGAAATCTGGGGAAGGAAGAGAGATCAAGGAGCAAGAAAGGAGGAGAGGAGGACATCTGGGACCAGTCACCCAGCCATACAGCCAGTCACAGAATAAGAAAGAAAGATAAGGTATACAGAAATGGAGAAAGGTAAAAGTCCAGAGGCAAAAGGTAGACGGGGATAATTTAAGTTAAAAATTGGCTAGAAACAAGCCAAGCTAAGGCCAGGCATTTATAAGAAAGATGAAGTCTCTGTGTGTGATTTATTTGGGAGCTAGGAGGTGTGCTGAGTCCAGCCTGACCTTCTGAGAGTCCTTGGTATAGGGGAGTGTGGATTGAGAAATAATAGATATGAAAAATAGAGACATAGATGTAAAAGAAAAAGACAGAGACAGAATAGTTTCGGGAAGGCTCTGAGTCAATACCACAGTTTCCCTGAGTTTATTCCTCATGGGCTTTTTATACACCAGCAAGGGGAGAGGCAAAAGACCTCCCCTGTCAAGGACACCATGGTTCAAGGTACAGACAAGTGAAAACACTTCCTTAATTCTCAAAACATCTAGTATCCATGCTTTATGGCAAAGCATCCTGTAATTAGGCCTTGAAGTATAAGACACCAGGTAACCATGCCTTGGGCCAAAGCATCCTATTATGCAGCGGGGCAAGACAAGCTCAGACTCTCTGACCTTGAGTCTGGAAGATGGAATAAGGCCACACTAAGGAGTCTCTGTAGGCCCCCACAGTGGTGTCCCCCTAAAAGAGCTAAAGAGCCAAAGAGTCCAAAGAGTAAAAACAAACAACAGCAGTTGCTAAAAGTCTAGGGCTTCAGGGAAATACAGCTGGGTCTTCCTATTATGATTTCAAAGAGAGAACCTATGTTCTCAAAGAGGGTGGCATGATGATGGCCTAGCTTGAGAAGGTCTTTAATGTCTCAGCAATATGATGCTGAAGATGTCTACAAAGCCTGGGAAATGCTGATGCTGAAGATGTCTACAAAGCTTGGGAAGGTCTTTAATGTCTCAACATCATGGGTCCTCCGTAAGTTACTTTGGTTTAATTTTGTGAGGATAAAGAAGAGTACTGTCTTCCTCCTCATCAGGGACTAAAGAGACAGTTCAGCCTGGAAAGCACCTATTTGACAGTTCAATTTCTGGGCCCTGTCAAAGGTAGACGTAGAGAACCAACTCTGCAAAGTTGTCCTCTGATTTCCACAGGTGTCCTGTGACCGACGTGCCACCCTCCCACATCATAACACATACACAGTAAGAATAGTCAATAAAAATTTAGCTGAGCATGGAGGCACACGCCTTTAACCCCAGAACTCAGGAGGCAGGGGCAGGCAGATCTCTGTCAGTTCAAGGCCAGCCTGGTCTACCTAGTGAGTTCCAGGTCTGCCAGGACTACAGTGCTCCAGGGAAATGCTATCCTCTGAAGCAAGGAGAATGAACTTCAGTTCTACAGCAACATGGTCTCAGCATCAGTGTTCAATGTCTAAGAAAACCTAGAAATACTTTTATTGGCTGATCATATCAAATCCCCCCAAGACCCACTATTTCTTAGAATCCTTTCGTGATTGTCTGTATTAGTTACGGTTCTATTGCTGTGAAGAGGCATCATAGCCAAGGCAACTTACAAAGGAAGGGAGGCTTGCTTACAGTTTCAGAGGATGAGTCCACAACTATCATGGTGGGGAGCGTGGTGGCATGTGGGCAGATGGCAAGCTGGAGCAGTAGCTGATAGCTTACATCTTATCTGAAAATTGGAAGCAGAAAGGGGGTGAGGTGGAGAGAAGGGGAGAGGTGAGAGACTGGGTCTGGCCTGGGCTTTTGAAACCTCCAAGCCTACCCCCAGTGACACACCTCCTCCAACAAGGGCACACCTCCTAATCCTTCTCAAACTGTTCCACCAACTAGGGACCAAACATTGAAATACATGAGCCGACTGGGGGGCGGGGGGGGGGGGGCATTCGCTCTCAAACCACCATACTGTCCAACCCTGAGCTTTTGTCCTGCGCTTTTCTTCCTTATCTTGGAACATCCAGTCATTTTATTTTTACACCATATGTTTTCTTTCTCCCCCCAGTAGATCGTTACAGCCTATAACCTCGTTAATGAAGCATACCTCTTTCCTTAAATCCAGTGGGAAAGCTGTTGCTCTTACCCACAACAGCCGAGCCACTATTGCATAAGCAGGCACATCCTGCCTGGCATGTGGGTATTTTAGCACACAGGGTCTCTAGCCAAGCAGGAATTTTGATGACAGTTTTCCACTGGCAGTCTGCATGGGTCCTTTTGGGAATGTGAAAGGCAGCTAGCAAGATGGGAGTTTCCGGTTCAATCCCACCTCCGTTTCTGCATGTCCTCCAGTCAAAGCATGCTCATGCGGTGTCTTCAGCACCAGGGTCTTACCTCTAGCTCCAGCATACAATCAACAGCAGTCAGTAGCCTTTCTGGTTTGTGGGGACTCAGGGGCTTCCCTGGCCAACAACTCACAGTGGGTAGGCCATTCCTGGAACTGGTGCTTTCACTGAATAATCTTCTGGCCTCTGGGAATGTCCTTTTGCACCCATGCTGTGTGCCTTTTGGGTTTAAACTCTCTCGGCTGTTGGTTCTGTTGCTGGGGGTACTCAGTGGCTTTAAAAGACACTGGTTCTAGGACAGCTGCTGGGGCTTGCGAGCATACTTTTCCTCTCAAGGGTCCTTCACTTTTCATTTCAATTACCACACAGTAACCATTAGCACTGTTGGCCAACATTCTATAGACACCATTTCATAAATTTGAGACATAGGTTCCTCATTTTCAAAAATACTTAATTTTTATAAAGTTCATTATTTTTAAAAAAAACTTGCAAATAATATCACAATCTAAAATTAACCAGACTCAAAGTCTATCCATCTCATGAACTACACAGTTAGAAAGGCCGTTCTGAAGCTGTGGAGCTTCATGCTGGATTTTACATTTTCACTACTGAATGTATTTTAATGCTCTTCCCATGTCACTTTATGCATTTTATATTCCTTCTTATATAAAAAATTTGTACTGATAGAAAGACATTATTATTAACTACCATAACCAAATATATTGAGAACT